AATGCGCGGGGGGGGGGGGGGTGGGGGGGTGTCCAAAATTTTTAGTTAAGTGGCCTTATTAACCTGTAAGTCTAATGTTATTTTTCTGGGCTAGCTCATTAGGCAGTTTATCCTAGCTCACGCAGATACTTCACTGGAGGTGTTGCCTGAAGAACTGAAAGGTGTGCAGATATGGCAGGCTGAGGAAGGTTTAAGAGTTCCTAGGCTCATGAAAACCTGGGCATAGCAGTGATATACTGAAAGAACAACAGGTTTCCTTCTATAGCAAGACTGGCACCTCCAGAAAATTATCAGTGTTATGCACCTTTTGGGCTCTCCTGGCTCTACGCCAAGCCCCTACAAATCATTTGCACTTTAATACAGTGCAATGTCAAAAAGTGGAAGTGAGAAACTAGGGACAGACACATGTCTGTTCACTCCCTGATTAACTACCAGCCAGTGTACCCCAATCAGGTGTCACCTGCACCCACACTCCTATACAAAATCATCGAGACAATGTGTTAATCTATTGTCTTTGAAATTGATGTGCGTTTGGGCAGGAGCAAAAATCACTCTGTAAGAGCCTTTTCGTAGGATGTAATCAAGCAACAGAATATTTTCTTTTTTTTATACTTCCTCTCTTCTGCTAGCAGGGTGCATAAAAATGATCAGCATTTGATTTTGAATGAACCCAACGATATAGAGACATTTTTACAGGTTACGCCTTCCTAAGAAATGTATCTTGCAAAGGCTTTATCAAAGGTTCTGGCAGTATCTGGCAAAGCCCCAGAAACTCATGACTTGAGCATTAAACAGACCTTACATTAAACACACTCATTCACAGACAGGGAGATTTGTCTGCATGGATATAAAATTTTATCAATCTTGAAGCATTTTACACTCAATCTCAGAACATGTCACAGGAAAAATTAAGCGATATTTTATTTTCTTTGCAAAGCAAACTAGCAACCCCCTATGCTAGCCTGACCAAGCATACAGCATGGACTTGCAGATCAGACAGGCGAAATCCTCACCTTCTGCCAGAACAAAGATTGCCATAAACCAAGCAAGCACTCAGGGACTGCAAAGTTTCCCATTTGAGGAAGTACCCAGAGAAGCTGAGTAAAGTCCAAGCTATTACCTCTGATCAGTTCCCATTTTCCTCAAGGAGGACTGGGATCTTTTTATGGGGAGATGAAGGGGAATCATTAAATCTTATCCAAAAATTACAATTTCAAAGCCAATAAAAACATAGCCATGGAGATGTGCCCAGTCTCTGTGCAGCTGAGGAAATTCTCCGAAACAGTCATCAGTATGAAAGCCCCTTTGGAGAACAAGAGTATCTGCTCTCAATTTTTAAAATATGAAAATATAAACTGTAGTGGGTGTAATTTAAATGTATTTCTATACATAAGTGTAATTATTGTGATAGCAATAATGACAATAGCAACAAGTACAAGAATATTACTAACAATAAATAATACCGCTAATCATAGTTAACAATGATCAAATCGATGATCTTTTAGACACAGAGAGAAAGCATGACATGTGACCCCCTCCACGCACAAACACTGAGCAGGGAAGATTTGCTTTGCACAAGGCAGTCATCAAACACTGGCTTATTTACTTCCAAAAACTGGGCTAAAAGCACTTGCTGTACCTCGGGCAAGGCTGCAGCAGCTCTTTCCCTCCCACGCTGCATGCTTCCCTCTCTTCCAGCTCTGGGCATTGCTTCCCAGTGCCCACCGCCACACTCCGCACACCGCGACGCCGGCTCCGAAAGCCCGGGGCAAGATCTCCCCAGCCACAGGTCCGTGAGCAGGCACTCCATGCAGACCACTCAGATGTTTCGCAGTCTTTAGCGATGACACAGGACTTGAAGGTCAAAGGGACAGGATCTTGCACACAGAGGCTGCGATAAGAACACAGTAAAACAACTGAGGAGGTGCTGCTTAATAAATTTCTTCTTTTTTTTTTTTTTCCAAGCCAAACCACCGAAGAAGAAATCCATGGTCATCTGGGGTAAATCAGAAGACCTGCATCAACACCAATACAATGAAAGTAAGAGGAGCTGTAATGCAGTGCACATAACACATTTCCAGGGAGTTCTGGGTGCAATTTTGCATGCCGAGTAGTTTGCAAATAATATACCTCATTTATTTAAAGTTAAAACAGATGTGAAAGGCACTATATTTGCTGCTGTGCAGTTAGAATTTCACAGTTTATCCAGGACGGAAAATAAAAGCCAAGCCCAAGAGAAATACTGCCACTGGTAACTATTCCCATCACCCCGCACACAGGACTAGCTGTCCACCATCCATCCATCCATCCATCCATCCAAGTGTCAGCATGTCCTGCTGCATGACTCTGCTCTTTTAAAAAATAATTAGTCACACACTAATAAGAAAGGTGTTGGTTCTGTGAGGCTGTTATCAAACAAATGCTGTCAAACAAGGTCAGAGGGTTTCCAAACCTGACAAACCGCCAGAGACCCAGGAATGCTGGAGCTCTGGCTGTATTTTGGGGCTCAATTACTCCTGCTGACATTAGGACATGATCCTCATTCATTCTGTAACACATCAAGACACCACACAAGACCCAACACAATGGAAAACCAAATTCTAACAGCTGCCAGGTGTTGAGGTTTGGTATCAAGATACAAAGTCCCAGAGCAAAATTTTTAAGAGTTCCAAAGTTACAGTAGCTTTTCACAATATAGAAAAGTATGGCAAATGTAGTAAATAATTCTGGGAGAAGACAAACCTCCAGACTAAGGCCACCATCCTTCCTTGCTCCTCTGCTTCTGTCTCAGCCAGCTGATGACTCGCCTGCCCAGCGCACGCTGGGAGGGACACCGCAGAGCACCGCTGCTGCTGCTCCACCTCACCCCAGCCAGAGATCAACCAGAGTTACCACTTATCTCCCAAAATGGGAGAAAAACCTTCCTTGTTTCTCAAAAACCTTAGACAGCTGAGGTAACAGAGCAGGAAAGGATATACCGAAAGAGGACGGAGGTACGTATGAGACATCACTGAAGCACCACAAAGGATGAGATGGGGCAAAAAAAGATGAAACCCAGAAAAAAGGAGTCACCAGGAGAAAAGGAACCAAGATTATCTGACTTCTGCCTAGTGTTATACGAATGATGCAAACTGGCCTCCGAAATTAGGACCGTACACGAACTCAGTGTGAACTCTCTCTAAATTTGTCTTCTCCAGCCTCCGGTTGCTCACAGTCAGGCTTTTGCCAACTGTAAGGAGCAAACAGAGGTACACTTAAAAGGTGTGAAATCCAGAACTGCTGCCAGGGAACCAGCCATTACCTCACTTGGTATTACTTTATAGCACAGTTTGACTAACCTAACTTTCTCTAAAGAAAATAGACTGGGGCAATCATTTCAGGATTGCAGGGCAGTCCCATAGGGGGAGAAGTGAAGATAAAGGACATTCACTCGCTTCTCCTCCAGTCTAGGAATTGGTCCCGTTTTCACAAAGGTCAGTAGGAATATTCCCACTGATACCTGATCAAGTTTGACTAGACCCTCAACTACTAGCAAAACACAGCGTTTAGTGGCTTAAATTTCTACTTCAAGAAAAAAGTGTAACAACTTTTTGTCTCAGTTTCTTCACCCAGAATAAAACTCATTAATCTCACAGGTGCTGTGAGGATGAATTTACTGAGGTTTATTTTAACAATTTCATAAAATAGAAACAGCCTGTGATACAACCCCCTCAAAATAAAATTATTCTTGCTTACAACTCAAAAAGATGTCTATTCCTCTATTACGTGTCAAATGCAACTCATTGCAAAACTGCCTCTGGTACAAAATGTCAATACGATTGAAGCAAAGACTGAAAAGTAATAATCATTATATCTGTACTTACTAACCCAGGGATTTTGAGTCTTGTTTGGAACATTAGGTTAGGTGGAGTCACGTGAATGGTAACTTTATTTCCCTTTTAATACTTTTTCAACAGTTATCAGGTGAGCCACCCGTGCCACAACGTTAACAAGAATTCCTGATTTAGAGCTGATAAAATAGTAGCACATACAAATCACTGCCCTAACTGATGGTATTAAAAAACTAGAGTTTATCTAAGAACACAGCATAGAGGGTAACTGATCTCACATTTTAAAGAGTGATCAAAACTTTGCATTCAGATACCAGTTAACAAAAACCCAAATCCATTTTTGGGGTTGTGCCACTGCAAAGGAGATTTAAGTCTTGCCTGATCTTCACTGAAATACCAAACAAAACGAAGCCTTTAGAAATCTGCTTTGGGGTCATCTTTAAAATTAATATTGCTAGCCCCAATTCTTCGTGAGGTAATACCTACAATACCTCGCCTAATGGATTCAAACCTCTGCCGACACTGACCGCAAAAGACATCTCTGCCCAGCAATCATCCTTGCTACTTGCAAAAGCCTTTGAAGTATGCAAAGACTGAATACTGTTTCTTTCCCTGAAAATCCATCCACTGCTCCTACTATAAAAGGCTAAAAAGATAACTTTGTTGACCTTAAGGTGAACAAGACGTGGAGCTGGCAATTTCCATCCTTCTGTTCGAGTACATGTTTTTGAAGGAGAATTACATGCAACTGCCTAACAGAAAGCAAATCTAATTAACTTGTACCTACTCATTCAGAGCCTCAAAGTCAAATTAATTGTGACACCGAGCAACACAAAGACAAATGTAAAAACATGCTTTTGCATTATTGCACGAAATTCAGACACAGTCTTTCATGTCACAGATGTATTTAGGACAATCTAATACAGACAAAGCCCAAACGTGAGAGGCACTCACTGACCTGAGGCTGCAAACCAGACATGTACTTGCGCTGCTGTGGTTGTATCAGAAGCCGCTGGGAGAGGAAGAAGGTCTTGGGGATGCAAGATACTACCCAAGCCCTGTTTTTAAACTAACTTTCCACATATTAATGTATCAGGTTAGATCTTCCTCTTGGGAGTTAATCTAATAATTGTAATATAGTAGAGTACTTACGTGATTGATGCTTTTTTCTATGTTACACACTTGGATTGATACTGTAAAACTACAGGAATTGTTCCACAACCTGTGTTACATTGCCTATGGTGTAAGATGGATCTGTTAGTTAGCAGACAGCAGCAGCACAAAGCCTATCTCGCTCAAGTGGCAGAGAGCCCTCTTACTCTCTTGTGTACTGAAGGGGAATAAACCACATATAAAAAAAATCCACTAAACCAAAGGAGACCTACTCATGCCTCTTTCACACTCGCATAGTCCTGCAGCTACAAGCAGAAAAGCAAGAAGAGGAGGAGGAAAAGCTGCCCAGCATAACACTCCTACTGTGCAGCTCCATGTCCGCCGTGACCACATAACTGCAGGCTGCTGCCAACAGAGCAGCGCTGCTCTTCTCCTCCATCTCCAGCCACAATCTCCCCCACGAGATACAGTAATTGTGCAGCCCCAGGCTGAACCACACCACCTTTCTGTTCTGGACAAAATGCAACTCACCAAATTTTCCAGCAGCTCAGTGCATCTGTGCTACACGCCTTACAGTCACACAGTCATCACATCCACTGCAAGGAAATGAGTGGAAACGTGTTTATCAGCAGGAGAAAAGAGCGAGACCGTCCAGGAGCAGTGCATCATTAAATCAGGTTGGGCACAGCATGCAAATTATCCGTAGTTTCCTCTCCCAACCATATCAATGTATTCAGAATGAAGGGTGAATGTATTTCCTTACATTAGAGGATGACACAGGTGGTTATTGTTGAACCTTTTATACTGAAAGGATCATGTCCAAAATAATCTGACACATTAAGAAGCCATCACCATGCCCATGCTGCTGGTACAGAAGGCAGCACCAGGAGGACAGGGTACCGCTTCAGCAGCCAGGATCTTCCCTGGCATCTCAGGAAGGCTCCCAAGAAGTGTCAATTCTGACCAGGGAACGCATGCTCAAATCCACGCACTGCAGAGCAAGAAAATCCTGAAGTGAGCTAAGCTGCACTGATAACACATTTTCATTTTTTCCCTTCTTCTAACATCGTCTCCTATTTTGTAACCAATGACCCAACCTCACAGGCTGCTGGAATAAACACTACCTGCTCTTTGCACTTGGCTAATAATATTAGGGTCTAATAATGTACACAGTCTTGCCATGTTTCTAACAGCATGCAAACACTTTTTTCCCTTAGGAAACTGGCAATCAATGTTAACAGGCATACTTTCAAGAATTCGTAATGTATTTTAGGGTCCTGAAGGGCTGCCAGGGCTATTTTGGATACTGGCAATACCATATATTCAGTCTGTGCAGCAGAGGCTTCTTTGGCAGAAGAAACACCAGCCCCTCTTGCACCAGGATGGTAAGGAAGACAGGGAACATTTGCGTGCCATACAACTGACCAAAGGGAAAGGGAGCTGGGAGACCTATAATCCAAACAAACACAGAGCTTTGGTGTCAAAGATGTCTAAGTTTTGGTGTCTCCAAAATTTAATGCACCAGATCCTCCACTTCAATTAAAAATAAATGCTGACTTACACTTGCGCTACACCTAGGCAGACACTGACATCTTAGGGCTACAGAAGCAGCTGGCTTTCAGCACAATTTGAAAACAGAAGAAAAAAGCCCAATTATTATTGGACCCTATTTCTAAAATGTTACTTATTGAAATTAAAAAAGCAGTCACTGTTCCTTTATTTCATGCACTTTTAATAAAAGCAAAGGAAATGAGAGACAAAACTTTTTAAAAGAACACTAGAAAATAAAATCTCCTTCTTATCCAATAGCTCGGGGATTTGTTTTCAAGCCTGAGCACTGAGGCTTGATTCCTACATCTGCTGGGAGGAATGTGAACACACATCTCCTCTCCCCAATCAGAATCGTAACTATCAAATAGCATATTACAGCACAGCGTTTCCACCTCCG